GGAAAAGCTCTGTAACAGTTAAAACAAGCTAATCATCTACCGAACATAGATTATTGCTTGATTTTCTTTCAAATTCGATAAAATACTGACTTGGTTATGTAAAATAAACAGAAACCAACAAATAGAATTGCTGTTTGTTGTTTAATATTTAAAACTTATACAATTTATACCTTTTTGGCTTTAAAAATACGTAAAAACCGAAAGAAAACGATTTAAGATAGAGAAAACATAAAGATTTGTACTATTAGATGATAAAAAATGGAAAAGTGACTATTATAATCTCGTCATCTAATCTTGTAAAACGAGAAAATATTGAGATTAACTCTAGATTACCGGACATTCGTAAATTTTACGAACCGCATACTTCTTTAAGTATTTTCAGCCAGTGTTACCAGACCTAGGGAATTTTCCCTATACCTAGAGAATTTTGAGCCAGCTTGGGGAAAAAGGGATTTTTATTTAATTCTATGAAAAATCTAGGGATTTCTTAATATTTGTAAGACTATTTTAAAAAATCAGTTGGATTTAATAAACTTTCCAAAGTTGCACATATATCATCTACTTGGAAATCGTACTATTCGGGGAATCACTGAATTCTCTCTCATGTGATTTCCCGTCGGAGACTAGAGCACCGAACAACCCGAAGGTGCACTCGACTCGGCGGTAATTGTTCGCGCATCTGGTTTGCGCAGGTTAGCGGCCATATTTTAAGTTCACAGTCACGTCGTTGACAGATCATTTTGTGTTTGTTGTTAGGTTAGATCACTATTTGTTTCGCTAATAATTTGATTTTGTGCAATCGTAAACACTGTAATTGTACACTAAAAAAATGGCGCAAGGTCACCGAATTTGTCTGACAGCTACCAATGTAAATTTATCGGAGTGCACCTTCGGGTTGTACGGTGACTAGAGTGGTGAAATTTCACGAACTGAGAAATACGTCGGGGATCCACCTGGGCTAAAATATATATTGGTCTCCGGCGATTTTTAGTTTCTATGGATGGATGGACCGCCCATCGCACAAATAACTCAATCCTAGACTCATCACAACTATCAACCAAAATATACTGAGATATTTTGGATACATAACTAGAAGAAGAGAAGGCATGGAGCGATTGATAGTTGAAGGTAACGTTGAGGCTAAAAGATCAAGATTAAGTTTTCCAGTACGATGGTCGGACCAAATAAAGGAGATGACTGGTTACTCATTCTCCGAAGCAAAACAACACGAATAGTAGATAGATAATTGGACAAAAATAGTTAAACAAATTACATGAGATTGGGGAGGATTCTTACCTTACAAATTCGCGAACAATAAATAATACCAGTCGCACAGAATGAATGCTTATAACCAAAAGTCCTTATTTATTCTACAAACAATTAAAAAACATCAACAATATTTCAAACATCGTATGTAACCTATACACACAAATTAGAAATGTTTGGAGGTTTAGAAGGAAAGGTTTTTAAAAAAACTGCTAATTCTGACGTCAGACTTAGGTGGTCCATTCGAGGCTTAATATGGTTGTCAAGTTGATAGGGAAATCTAGGGAAATTTTGGCAAAAATTCTAGGGAATTAAAAAAAAATCATCTGGCAACCCTGTACAGCTACTTACGGTCACCGCTCGGCCTTGGGCCGCTTGTTACCTTCTAATTTAGTCGTTAGCTAGCTAATGTCGTATGCAGTTGTACCATTTAAAATTTCTACAATATAGTTTTCACACCTTCGTCGTCAATTTTACGAAGCTTCAGTATCTACGATAGTTTTATTAGCAGGTGTACATTTTTTTTGGCTATTTCCACCGTCTTCGAATAAATTTCATAGAAGTAAGTTGTTAGCTCATTATTTTATTTTGTATTCTTGTATTAAATATAAATTTTGGAATTTACTATTTTATTTGGGAATACAGCCAAAATTTTGGTTTGAAATTAATTTATTTGATGTTTCGACTTCCACTTTGGAAATCGTTTTTTGTAATCGGTATTTTGATAACGGTTTCCGAAGTAGAAGTCGAAACGTCAAATAAATTAATTTCAAACTAACATTGTGGCTTTATTCCCAAATAAAATAGTAAATTAGATACCCAAAGCAAATAGCTTCAGAACAATATATTTTTCACTTCAGTAAAATGGATTCCAAAAGGCCACTGACAGAAAAAGAACTGGAAGAAGCTGCGCGTATTATGAATGGTGAAGACTGACCCAGATCCCTTTGAAGACAGTGGCAGCGACTGGAAAGAAGATAATCTGGAGATATAATCTTCACACTCGGATAAAGAAGCTGTCGAAGATTTGATTGTATATTCTTGTTCTAATGAACCGACAGGGCAAGATGCCATTTCAGATATTGAAAAAGTTTCTACGTCGATATCTGGAAAATCAAAGCATGTGGTGGTCCCAACAAAAAAAGTTTTAATGGTAAGAATGGTCATAAGTCGACTTCAAGGCCGCATACGACAGTGTCAAGAGAACAGTGCTATACCAATCAACGCATGAGTTTGGTATACCAGAGAAACTTATCCGACTAACGAGAATTACAATGTTAGAATACAGGGAAAGAGTTCTAGATCTTTTGAGATAAAAGATGGACTCAGACAAGGGATGCTCTGGCTTGCCTCCTATTTAATATTGCCTTAGAAAAGGCAGTCCGAGATACACGAATTAGGGATGGCGGTACTATTTACAATAGATCGATACAAGTCTTAGCATATGCTGATGACATTGACATAATAGGCGTAGCAAGCGAGATGTTGAGCAATATCTCCTAGAATTGGAAACAGCGGCGAAACAGGTCGGTCTAGTCATCAACGAAGACAAAACCAAGTACATGTTGGTTACAAAGGATCCGATAGCAAATGAGGAACGAGAAACAGTCTTTGGAAGTCATACCTTTGGACGTGTTGACAACTTCACATACCTTGTGTTGCTATTGACTGCTACCAATAAAACAAGCGAAGAAATCAAAAGACGAATAAATCTTACAAATAGGGCATACTATGGACTCCAAAAGCATTTCCACTCAAGAAACATTCAAAGAAGAATTAAAATTATTATATATAAAACATTGCTGAGGCCGGTCCTCACATATGGAGCAGAAACATGGACTCTAACGCAGAAAGATGAAAGACTTTTGGGAATATTTGAGCGTAAAATACTCCGCAAAATATTTGGAGCTGTAAACGACCAAGGGCAGTGGCGCAGAAGATATAATTTTGAATTGTATCAGCTCTTTGATGAACCAGATGTCATAACGTTCATTAAAACACAGCGACTTAGATGGGCTGGACACATAATACGAATGCCAGAAAATACGATTGCTAAAAAGCTAACCACAGGAACACCTGTAGGAAAAAGAAGCAAAGGCCGACCGCGAATTAGGTGGTTAGATGGAGTGGAAACCGACTTACGAATATTAAAAATCAGAAGATGGCAACATGTTGCCAAAAACCGAACAGAATGGCGACGAATCTTAGAGCAGGCCAAGATCCACAGATGATTGTCTGTGGTAGGTACCGCTAACAACTGTAATACTTTTAATGAACACTTCTTACAATTCTTTCCAAACACGCTACTTGAAATTATTGTACAACATACAAATGCAGAAATTGTAAGACGAGCTGAGAAACATAATAATCATGAAAATTTGTCTCTAATATTAATTGAAGAATTAAGAGCCTTACTTGCAATTGTTTCACCTCCATTTCAGTAACGTTTTACAGAGCGTGTATGTAGAGGAAAGGAAAGAGAGACAAGTAAATGACCCTTTCACTCATATCCGAAATATGGGATATTTTGATTGAAATATGCCGCAGTTCATATACTCCATCATTATATCTTACAATTCATGAGCAACTGCTAGGATTCCGGGGAAGATCCCCTTTGGGATGTACATCCCCAATAAACCTTTTAGTACGGGATTAAGATTATTATGTTATGTGATTCCTCCAGTAAATATATGTTGGATTTAAGTCCCTATTTGGGAAAGAAAACTAATACCAATGGTTTGCCACTAGCAGAGCATTATGTCAAAGAACTAACAAAATCTGTCCATGGATCAAATCGGAACGTAACCATGGACAACTGGTTTACGTCAGTGAAATTAGTCGGTGAACTGTTACAAGAGCCATATCAATTAACAGCATTAGGTACTCTTCGCAAAAACAAAAAAGAAATTTCCACAGAGATGTTGGCACTAAAAGGCCGAAATGTAAACTCTTCGATGTTCTGTTTTGATCAGAAGAAAACTTTGTTATCTTATTTTTACTGCTTTTAACTTTGCACGAAACGAGAGAAGTATCAGAAGAAACAGGCAAGCCTGTAATTATAAAAAATTACAATAACACAAAATAAGGCGTAGATACTTTTGATCAAATGTGTTCCAACATGAGCTGTAACAGGAAAACCCAAAGATGGCCGTTGTGTGTATTTTATGATATGGTTAATATAGCCAGTATTAATTACTATGTCATTTACACATACAACACATTAAAACGAGGTAAAAAGCCTGTCTCTCGGTACCAGTATATGGTTGGTTTGAGCCAGTCTCTTGCCGAACCATATATGAGACAAAGATACCTGCTGCAGAAGAAGTTCCCACATATCAAGAAAGAAAAAGAAAAATTTGCTTTTAATGTCCAAGCCAAAAACGGCGAATTTTGTCAAATTACCAAGTATGCAAGCATGCGATATGTGGTGAGCATCGTGGAAAAATTTACACCGAGTGTTTAAAACATTAACCAATTCTATTTTTTATTCCATTAAAATATGTTATTATAATGATAAAAACTCTCCTGTTCAGATTTTGAATATACGTTTTGTAATTACAAGGCATTTTTTATGGGTAGTAAAATTTACGATAGTCCGGTAATCTAGGGTTAAGATATATGCTATGTAAAAAGTTAATTTACAGCTTTTTCTGTAAGCACATTGTAAATTTAATACTAAATAAAAATTATATATACTCAATTTTCAAAAAGAATCAATAGAGACATTTTTAAAATCAACATTGAAATGAATATAAAGGAGGATATACTAGATTTGTATCACTATTAAAATAGGGATATCAATTGCTTATTCGTGATGTACTTGACTTATTTGTCTTGCGAAATATCTGCAATACTAGATTTAAAATCAATTTAAAAGCAACATTTACCAAAATCTCTAAACTTTCATTCCATTTTTTGGTTTCGTTCGTTACAATAGTTTCTACAAGACTTTTATTCGCTGAGAGATATTGAGCGATGTAGCAGACATTTAATGAGAGTTAGGTCAACGAAAATCAGACTTTTATAGCGGAAACGTTGTAGAACGACTGCATCCTTACGTATTTTCTAGATTTCAGTTGTCGGATCTTCTGGCTGATGGGGTTCCTTCTGGAGAAAAAGTCTACTAAGGGTTCAGAGTTCATTATCGATGCTAGAAATTGTTCGACTGTGATGTGCCAGTGGATTTCTGCTTTGGGTGTCAAGGGGTTGCCGTTCTTGTCTGGTGACTAAAACAAAATGAATATTTGTATGCAGCAATTAAATTATTACTCATTTTACACTTGAAGCGTAAAAGGGGAAAATGGAGGAGTGTCACTTTTGTTTAATTTTTCAGGAGAGCATTTTCAAAGTTATCATACTAAGGTAAATGCACCAGAGTACCTCACACTTTAGCATTTTTTTTATTGATTATTTAAAATATTTAACGAAAAAATATAAAATGTGTTTTGAATTACTGCTTCATAGGTTCTGAGGATATTATTGGTTACTAATGAATGCAAAAAATATTTAAAATTATATAATTAGGTGAAATTATATCAAGTTTTCTGAACACATGAAATTGGTCCAATGCTTGACCTCAAAATTTGGAAGTGTACTTGTGACCCCCGTTGTACTTATACCTGTTATGTTATGTGAACCTACCTTAATATTTGTAAACCTACCTTAACATGGGTGACAGAGGAAGGACATTGACAAGAGAAGAAGATGGCTCGTTAGATATAATCATGTATTAAGTTTAGTTGGTCTTTAATAAAAGATATTAAAAAGAAACTGGTCGTCAATCTTATTAAAAGCCCACAGAGACAACGTAACATGGTGTCAGAAGTAAAAATTCAGGTCAGATTATAGTAACGAGTATTATAATAGTCATACAAAAGTCGAAACATGGTCTAACAGCACGTGGTGATCTGGTTGGTTTTAAAAGAAATTAATTAAAAACGGTCAAAAGGTAAAGTTCAACCATGTCGAACAAGATTCTATAGAGCAGAATCAACCTGTCGTTGTAAAAATAAAAAGTAACGTAATAGGGAATGAAATCCAACCGTTGTCAATGCAAGGAAATTTGGCACATAACTGGGGAGAATGGAGCATAAATTTCAAAATATTTTGAGAGCCACAGGTTTAGAGGAAGAAAACGATGCGAGAAAAGTAGCTTTATTATTGCACTATATTGGTACAGATGCAAGAAATATTTACAAGTCATTTGAGTTTAACATGGATACTGTAACATTTCGAGAAGTTGTAGGGAAATTTGAAAAATACTGTAACCCGAAGAAAAATTTAACAGTAGAAAGACATTATTTTCTTACTAGAGTACAGAAAGATGGTGAAACCATTGAAGATTTCATGACTAGTCTAAAGAATTTGAGTTTAACATGTGAATTAGGAATTTTAAAAGAAAGTTTGGTGTGTGACATGTTCATTATTGGTTTTAAATCCTAAATACCATTCAATTAAGCAAAAACTATTGCAAGAAGTAGATCTGAAGACAGAAAAGGTATTACAAATTGCTCAAAATATAATTACAACTCAAATGCAAGCACAACAGTTAAATAAAAATTCAGAAGCAGTGGTATACAAAGTAGAGAAGAATAAAGATGGTCTAGGTCCGAATTTTTCAAATCATTCAAGGTATAGAAATGAAGTCCCAGGTCCAAGTTGGAGAAATGATAGTCAAAGGTACAACATAGATGGTACGAACACAAACAGTCAAAGTCAGGTAACAAGTCAGAATTTTAAATCAAGATAATACTGATAGTGGAGATGAGAGTTACGTATACATGGAAGTTTATTAGTTAACAATTTAGCTGTGTCTTCAAAGAAATTAATGGAAATACAGGCAGCAACCAAAACTGATAGAGTTTTACAGTCATAATAAGATATTATAATGAAGGTTGGCCAAGTTCGAAAAATAAATTGGAAACGGAGGTTAAACCGTATTACAATTTCAATCATGAAATACATGTTGTGGATGGATTAGTCTTTAGAGGAAATCAAATAATAATTCCTGAGTCATTGCGTCAAGTTATATTAGAAATAATTCATGAAGGTCATTTAGGATATGAAAAATGTATTCGACAAGCACGTACAGTAGTTTTTTGGCCAGGCATGTCAGTAGATATAAAGAATAAAGTTGAACAGTGTCCAGCATGTCTTAAATATCATAGATCAAATAGTCCAGAACAACTATTACCACATGAAATACCAACTTTGCCTTGGCAGAAAATTGGTGTTGATCTTTTTTATTATAGTAAAGTCACATATATATTATTAGTAGATTATTATTCTAAATACTTTGAAATAGCGCCTTTAAATAATACTTCAGCAAAAGAGGTAATTAGTACAATGAAGTCTATATTTGCGAGACATGGAATACCATTGATCTTAATGTCTGATAATGGTCCCCCATTCTCATCAAAAGAGTTTCAGTCATTTTTAGTAGATTGGGACATTACTTATCAAAGTTCTAGTCCTTATTATCCAAAAAGTAATGGTTTGGTAGAGAGGACAGTTCAAACTGTAAGAAATATTTTTAATAAGTGTATAGAGTCAGGCTCTGATCCATATCAGGGAATGTTGCAATACAGAAATACAACATTAGAATGTGGTTATTCTCCAGCTCAGTTATTAATGTCACGTAATTTAAGAATGAAATTACCTGTTATGAAAAAATACTCATACCAAAAACAATTGATAGGAACGAATATAGCAAATTTGTTAAGGAAAAAGAAAGGAAAGTAAAAGAATATCATGATAGGTCAGCTAGAAACTTACCGAATCTGTTTGTTGGAGAAAATGTATTTTATAAAAAGGTTCCATCATCACCGTGGTTACCAGCTACTGTGATAGAAATAGGTCCTTTTCCAAGATCATATGTCGTCAGAACACCTGAAGGTGTACATTATCGTAGGAACAGACAACACATATTAAAGCCTGCCAGTACAATTAGTAGACAAAATAGTGAGGTGATAGTTAAGCATGAAAATAGTACAGCAGCTAGTTCCAATTTGTATGAGGCTCCAAATATGAACAACGATACATCAATTTCAAATCAAAGTTATGACAATTTAAATGTTAACTTAAATAGGTCACATATACTAAATGTAAGTAATCAATTTTGTACCAGGAGTGGTCGAATTGTAAATAGACCAAAAAGGTTTTCATTTTCAGAAGAGTAATGCGGCAGTGTAGTGTTGCGGGTAGATTTAGGTTGTTAGGATAGTTTAGTTTTTTTTGTTAAAAAAAAAGGGGCATGTTATGTTATGTGAACCTACCTTAATATTTGTAAACCTACCTTAACATGGGTGACAGAGGAAGGACATTGACAAGAGAAGAAGATGGCTCGTTAGATATAATCATGTATTAAGTTTAGTTGGTCTTTAATAAAAGATATTAAAAAGAAACTGGTCGTCAATCTTATTAAAAGCCCACAGAGACAACGTAACAATACCTGACCCACTTGTACTAACTGTTGAAGTTGCGGAAAAGTTTTAAAAATGAGATTTTATTACAAACATAATACAACAAATTGACGAAATTATTGTAGACAAAAACTGAAATTTAAATGTTAATTAGAGAAAATTAATTTTCGGTGAATTCTGTAAACGTATTCATGTCTTCTATGTGGAACATACCTCTGGAATTTTCAACCTTCGGTGAATCTATAATTCTAACGACATCTTTTTCATCATACCATATTTAGTCTTTTGTATCTGGCCAGCGCCACCCTGTTCTACCACTTTGAGTCATTGCGGAAACGAAATACTGCTGTTTTCTGGCTGCTGTAACTTTACCCGAAAAATATTTGCCATCATACTCTACCACCACGTAATGATTAAGTTTAAGCTTTTTTCTAGATGAATTATTTATGTTTTCTTTAAGTCTAATGGCACATTCTGACAAGTTGGTTTTCGTTTTTCTACCAATTTGTTTTTGTTGACTTCTAAGTCTTTTTCTTGATTTCTTGTTTTCTTTTTATTTCTAGGTTTTCAGATTCAATTTTAACTTTTTTTCTGATTACACTCCAGCCACATTTGACGTGTCACTACACTTGGTATTTTTTCTTTACTTTTTCTTAATTCTGGTTTTGGCTTTTGCCAGAAGAGTGCTCGCTTGAATGGACTAGGAACGTTTGGATCAGTTTTTGTACTGGGTACATTTATATGATACTTATTTAATAAAGCCTTGTCTTCTGAGATCTCTAGATTCGACTTCAAATAGTAGGCTTAAAATGTTGTGGCAAATCCAGATTCTCTTTTGGTGGACTGATGATCCTTATATTTGGGTTTTCTGACAATTCTAGATTGCTATTTTGAGGTGTTACATCTATTACACTTAGTGTATTAATTTTCTTGATAGAAGAAATTGTTAAATTTAAAACAAGACTTAAATCATTATCAAGGAATGCAATAGAATCCGTTGAATTCCCTACAAAATCGACAAGTTTCAAGTTAAGATCTGTATCTTCAAAAACAATTTCAGTCTCTTCATTAAAGTTTTCACGATTTTGTGCAGTTAATTTCGCTCTGTTTAATTTTTTTCCAAACTTTAAATAATGACGTATCTTCTATTGACCCACAACACTTTGTCTTATGTAGTGCATTTTCAAGTTGATTAAACTTATCTGTCTCTATAAAAAATTCAATAAAAGCCAGATTTTTCAGACTTTTTTGACTTTGCTGTTCATGTAAATAAGTGCGATCTTCATTGTTGGGGAAAAATCATTAACAACTTTGGGATTCCACGGACAAATACCGCATTTTTTAAACCTATTTTCTAGAATTTTCGGACTTATGCAATCTTTTATTGTCGCATCCAATAGTGGAGCGGAATCCCGTCTTCTTAATAACTCGTGTTGATTTTTTAACCTCCAAGAAACTTACTTACTCCTTCCAATCATATTTTAACGTGCCAAACACGGCTACGTCCATAGGCTGCAAATGGGTAGCGTTCGGATATAAAGCAATCAGAATTATATTTTTTTCTGAGCAGAATTTACTGAGATGAAAGGATAAATGGGAAGCATGCTAATCGACAAAAAATATAATAGGAAATGAAACATATTGTATTGACCACGGATAAAACACATTGGCCATGTAAGAATAAAAAGTATCTGATGTCATCCACCCGTTTTCGGACACACCAATTCCCCAATGCTTCGGAATGCTTTCAGAAAGATCTGAAGGTATTATTTTCTACCGAAAAATTTTCATTGGTGAAGATAAACTTCCTGCGGCATTTCCATTGAGTAGCACAGTGAGGCACTTGCTTTTACAGACCAACTGTGTCGTTTTAACTCACAAGAACCACGTGTTCAAACCGAGCAAGGATACATGTAGTATTAATTTTTATTCAATGTCATCGACCTACAGTCATAGTATAATTTAAATTACATAAAAAGACACTGAAGATGATCTGATTAGATCCAAAACGTCACATTATGCTACTATATAGATTTTGACGACACTTTTTAAGTTTTAACTATGTTTTTATACCTAAATACAAATGTGAAGTGTTTTAACTTCTGTTTTTTAAAAGTTTTTTTAAACGATGGTATACAGCCAACCACTGGAATTTTCCCATTAATTTTTAAATTAAATTGCTTCAAAATACTGTTCCTACAGCCTTTAGAAACAGTTTGAAAACATTGCCATCTTTTACAGTGACAGTCAGGCTCTGGAACATGGATTTGTAATCAAAGTTTTTTACTTACATCAGTCTTGCGGCCAAATGATTTTCTTTTCTTACTTAACTTTACATTTGCTGTACTTCATCACTTCGCATATAGTCCAGGCTGTGAGGCCGCTCCCGTTGGGAAAATGTTTCTGATTCGCTTTCTTCGCGATTCCGGTTCAAAAATGTCCCCTTTAAACAAATCTGAAGGTGCCGGGCGAAATTTTTGGGCAGAAATTGTTTAAACAATTTTTTTAAACAAAGTCCAAAAATAATTTTTTTTTAATCTGGAAAACGTTTTTTTAGTTTTTTTGGGCCATTTTAAACAAAAAAAGTCTCTTGTCATTTTTCTCTAAAGTTGATAGTTTTCGAGTTATAAGCGATTTAAAGTCTGAAAAACGCGAAAATACGCATTTTTGAGGTTTGAAAACACATATGTAAATTATTATTTTTGAGGTTACCAAGTATCTAAATTAAAGTTTAAACATTCAACTTCAAGATTGTGAAGAGTAATCGGGGCTATTTTTAATTTAGACCGTTGTTTTTTAATTGTTAAGTATGCGCGTACACTCGATTTTTCAGCCGCCGCGCGCTACCGTGCGCCCGCCGCGCGCTACCGTGCGCTTCTATCGTACTTATGCATAGTTTACATATACTTACAAATAATTATTATTTATTGAGTATATATTTATTTATATCAATTGAGTTATAATATAAATTTCGTCTAAAGTTAAAAATAGTTACATAAAATAATTGTACAAAAGATTGTTAAATAACACACTAATATCACTCAGTAAAAGTATCTTTGTTTTCACAAAAATCTAAATCAAATCCACATAATGGTACACAGTTGACATGATTTTTCTTGCAGTTGCAAGCATTAGTTTTGCAAGTCTTTTTGCATTTGCACGGTTTCCCAACCCACCACTATCAGACATATAATATCCATATTGTGTAAAATCGAGAGTTTGATAGTGGGAATATATGGCATTTCGCCAAATATATGTTTTAGCGAAAGCTCTTAACAAGTGTTGGTAAAGCGCGTCAGAGGTACAAGGTTTATTGGCTAGATTAAATTAAATTTTTCAGTTACACTGTCTTTTCGTCGAAGAGCAGCATTTTGTATTGTTATGTAAAAATCTACTGTAGGTTTTTGCACTAACTTAATATTGTTGATGTTATTACAAAAAATACAAACTAAATTTTCTTCGGTAAGTTTTCATTTAAGAAGAGGTACGGAAAAAGACATTTTAAATCCATTCACATTTTTTTTAATAACACATTAATAATATAATACCCTTTTAATGGGCATTAAACAATAGTCTTCCTAATGATCGTTTCTTCTTCTTAAAGTGCCCTCTCCTCAATGGAGGTTGGCTACTACAATTTTAAACTCTTCTCTATCTTCAGCTGTTCTTATTAGCTGTTCAAAATTTAGCCCTGTCCATTGTCGGATGTTTCTGAGCCATGATAGTCTTTTCCTTCCTAGGCCTCTCTTTCCCTCGATTTTTCCTTTCACTATAAGTTATAAGTAATAACAAATCAAGTATAAGCGCGCGATTGTTAAACAGGTAAAAACTTGCATTTTTGCGATAGTATATTGTTTTTAAACACCGCGCAATTTAAAATTAAGTTTACTAATATTAATATTTACTGCATTGTATTATTTAAATAATAATTTAAAAATATTATTTACAATTGATATAAATAAATAAATATATACTCAATAAATAATAATTATATTGTTCAAATTTGGAAAAAAAACTATATACGGTTATTACATTGCGATGATTGATTTATTTAATTAGCCCAATGACAATAATTAATACCTACATAAATAAATTATGGAAAAAACTATGTTAATAAACTTCAAGGATTTGTTCGGGTTTTTTTGCGTAAGTGTATATGTAAACTATGCATAAGTACGATAGAAGCGCACTCTAGCGCGCCGCGCCGCGGCGGCTGAAAAATCGAGTGTATGCGCATATTTAACAATTAAAAAACAACGGTCTAAATTAAAATAAGCCCCGATTACTCTTCACAATCTTGAAGTTGAATGTTTAAACTTCAATTTAGACACTTGGTAACCTCAAAAATAATAATTTACATATGTGTTTTCAAGCCTCAAAAATTCGTATTTTCGCGTTTTTCAGACTTTAAATCGCTTATAACTCGAAAACTATCAACTTAAGAGAAAAATGACAAGATACCTTTTTTATTCAAAATGATCCAAAAAACCTAAAAAAACATTTTCCAGATTAAAAAAAAATATTTTTGGAATTTGTTTAAAAAAAATTGTTTAAACAATTTCTGCCCAAAAATTTCGCCCGGTACCCTTCAGATTTGTTTAAAGGGGACATTTTTGAACCGGAATCCGCGAAGAAACCGAATCAGAAACATTTTCCCAACGGGAGCGGCCTCACAGCCTGGACTAATAGTAAAATGATTTTATATCAGTAACTTGAAAAAACTAACCTCAAATATTACACCTCAAACTAACACACGAAAACAATGAGTAACAATAACAGCATCTTAACTTGTTTCTGCGTGATTCACAACTGACATTCCCCCTTCTTTACCGGTAACATCTTGACATTCCCCTTTCTTCTCCTGTATCGGTATTTTATTATTCGTGTTATCTCATGACACAACCCAATTTTAACCAGTGTTAATTACGTACATTAAAGAACAGAATATAGCCTATCTAACGAATTGTGAATTTAAAACAAAAAATGAAAATTTCTGACATTCCTCCTTTTTCCTTTGTACCCTTCACTTCTAAATGCCCCAATATGTAGATATTAATAAGAAAAATATTGTTTACTTACAATTTTTTCAATATTCGACGATGCTAACGTAGCAGTGGCAGCAGAAGCTAGACTATCATCAGATTCATCTCTGGTACCGAAATATTTCTTACCAACGTCTCCTAATTCGAACAGCAACGTGACAGTGTTTGTTATTGCTTGATAAATTTCCTAGGATTAAAGAAAATTATCATTAAACATTCTATGTAGTAACACAAAAGCAATAATTTTGCAGGCTTTACGAAGTTTCAGGCAATTGTTAGAAGATACCACTATTCGAGTTGTGAAGTGCACGTACCTCTCCCTTATCGGGAGCAAGGAATTTTAAATATTTCTCTTGTTATAAAATGATTGTTTATGGAAATTATTTATTAACCCACTTACAACACAAAAATCTGATAACGCAGCAGAAATATGTGGCATCCACTCTAGAATGGAAGTTAACATACTGAGATTTCTCAGAAAAATAGAAGACGTTAGACATGAACATCATGATGAAAACCAACTAATTAAATGTACAAGCGCTTAAACCCTTGAAAGAAGAACACTCTTTCGAATAAATTCAAATATTCAAAAATAGATTCTAAATCAGTCTCAGGTATTTATATCCTTAAATAATTTTAAAAAATGTGAACTAAACTCAATAATATTACTACTTACACTTACCAAGTCATCTGGCTCTGCTTGGAGAATATCGTATACGGATTTCCACATTGTGATGAACCTGGGTTGCGACATTTTAGGAACCAGTTTCATATTCAGTTTGCTGTCTTTGGACTGAACAAGGTTCCTCAAATTAGTCATGCTTTTCGATTCCCAATTAGTATCGCCTGGAGTTAGCGAACTAGATTCGACTGAAGCCTGCGAATCGTACGATTTCCTGAAAAAAAGATTAAGGTACAGTATTCTTCCATAAATAGAAGGTCGTAGAGGTGTAGGAAAAAAACAGATTTCTTGGTAAAAAAACATTCGTAAATGGACTCAAATATCAAATGTTGGTCAATTATTCTATGTGGAACACTTATGTCAGAGAAGAACATCTAATAGAAAAAAAAAGAAGAGAGAAAAAAAGCATAATGAGGGTATTAGATTTTATTTCGATGCAGAGCAACCGCAAGCCGCTTATACGTATTTCAACCTCTTAAGGTCTCCTCAGAAAGTCATATGCTGTTGCTCTGCAATTAAGCATATACGAAAAAATCGCGAAAATAAATTTATAAATAAATCGTCTTTTTTTGAACAAAAGCAACCATCTGTTAGGAACACTACTAAAAATCTTTTTAGTCGATCAAATTGTTTTTCCTGTTTGATAATTTGGAACACAAGAGAAAGCTTCTTCGAACACCTCCAAAACACGATAAATGAGGTCCCTAAAAATGAATTTATGATCGTTACGGGCGACTTTAATGCCCGTGTTGGCAACGACATCGTACCAGGGATAAAACAGCGTCATAACGAAGACATCAGAAATGAAAATGGAGATCTCCTCACGGACCTATGTAGCACGAATGAACTACGCATCAACAACACTTTTTTCCCTCATAATGAACAATACAAATACACTTTCGAAAATACAAGAGGTCAAAGGTCAATGATAGACTACATCCTGACGAACAGGGTAATACATCCCTCTCAAGTACTGGACATAAGAGCACTAACATCTGCAGAAATAGGAAGCGACCATAAGCTTATACTTGGAAAAATCAGAATGACGACACGCGTATGTAACAATAAAAACAATAAAAATAAAAAAGAAGAATACACCACAAAGGTAAAAGTCGAGAGTCTGCAGAACGAATCAACAAAACTTCTATACCAAAAGAGAGTCAAAGATAAACTCGACAACGTGCACATCGTAGAAAGTGATGGAATCGAAGAAAGCTGGGCGAAAATTAAAGCAAGCATCCTAGATTCAGCAAAAGAAGCTGTAGGAGAAAGGAAAATTCTTAAAAATAAATATTTCCAAAAGCGGAAAACTCCGTGGTTCTGCGCAGAAGTGAAAGAAAAATGCAAAGAAAAAAAGAAAGCTTACTTAAGATACATGTCTAACAAAACACCACAAGAATACAACAATTACAAAAAGATAAGAAACGAAACAATAGCACTAGTAAAAAAAATTAAAAACGAACACTGGGAACGCTTCTCAAAATAAATGGAACACGACTTTTACGGTCTACAAAAGGAAATATGGCGTTTCATAAGAGGCCAAAGATCAGAGATGAAAGACTTAATCGAACCGAAACACATAGATAACGACACATGGATTGAATACCTAAAGAAGCTTTATAATGATGAACAGCAAATGATGTTAGAACCAGAAACACCAGAAATCATTACAAACGAGGAAGTCGAGATAACCGTAAAAGAAGTAAAACAAACTTTAGAAAAACTGAAGAACAGAAAAGCTGCAGGTAAAGATGGAATTCCAAATGAATTATTGAAATATGGTGGAGAAGCATTAACAGAACAGCTAACGGCACTAATTAACAAAATCATCAAACATAATAAAATACCTGAAGAGTGGAAGAAAAGCGAGCTTATCCTACTATACAAAAAAGGAGATAAAAAACAACCTGAAAACTACAGAGGTATCAACTTATTAAACACCACTTTGAAGCTTACAACCAAAATATTGCAAGGCCAAATAAATCAGAGAATTACCTTAGCGGATGAACAGCAGGGTTTTCGCACAGGAAGATCGTGCACAGATGCAGCATTCATCATAAAACAGATTACCGAGAAAGCACTAGAGTATAACAGACCAGCATTCATATGTCTAATAGACCTGAAGAAAGCGTTCGATAAAGTAAAGCTTAAAGATGTAATTCACCTTCTTTACGATAGAGAAATTCCACTAAATGTTATAAAAACAATAGAGAACATTTACCAGAACAACAATATGGAAGTCAGAATAGATGACCAGCTTACAGATCCAATAGATATGAGCAATGGAATAAGACAAGGAGACTCGCTTAGTCCAACGCTATTCAATCTAATCATGGATGAAATCATCAATACTATTAATAAAGGAAGAGGATACAAAATGGGGAACAAAGAAATCAGAATATTCTGCTATGCAGATGATGCGGTCCTAATTGCATCCAATGAAGACGATCTACAAAGACTAACTCATAGATTCAACACAAGGGCAAAGGACTTTAATATGGTGATCTCTACACAGAAAACTAAAACAATTGTAATCAGTAAAGAACCAATTAGATGTAAACTGGAAATCGACGGTGTCAGCATTGAGCAAGTAATGGAGACAAATTACCTAGGAATTACACTGTCTAGCTACGGAGATGTGGAGAAGGAAGTGAAAAATCAAGTACAAAAGGCTAATAAAATAGCAGGTTGTCATAATAACACGATATGGCGCAATCCCCACATTAATACCGACGTGAAATCAAGAATCTACAAAGCAACAATAAGACCAATAATGACATACACTTCAGAGACAAGACCGGATACCTCCAAAACTCAGCAACTACTAGAAACAGCGGAGATGCGTTTACTGAGGAGAATTACAGGAAACACACTGAGGGATCGAATGAGGAGTGAAGAGATCAGAAGAAAATGCAATATACCAGAAATAAATGAGTGGACATTGAACATAAAAAAGGAATGGAACGAACACATAAACAGAATGGAAGAGACCCGATTAGTCAGAATAGCGAGGGACAAATCACCAAAAGGTAGAAGAAGTATCGGGCGACCACGCAAAAGATGGAGTGATAACCTCCAATAGAGGCATTAATCGACATTGAACAAGCATTTTGCTTATAAAAAAGAAGAAGAAGAAGAAGAAGATAATTTGGCCAAAAACATTTGCTACTGAGCAATAGCACATTTATCGAGTTGAAAGAAGAATAATTTGTTAAACGTCACTGTCAAACCTAACCTTAACAAACAGCAACAACAGGAAACAATTCTACCAACACAACATTTTTGTACAGGCCCATTTTTGTGCTCTACAACGTCATTAATTTAAACAATATAGATCAAATCAGCTCTGAGTTTAAAAAATTAAACACGGTGACATTTACTCGAAGTTTTAAACATCAAGTTTAACACATAGAGTTATGTCTTCATCCACATTTTGTAACGATGCCTTCAATTAAAAAAATAGTCCTCCATCGTAACAACATCCTACTAATTGCGAAAAAAGTTTTCAGCGTTCCACGCAAGCATGCACATCAATCTGCAAAAAGTTGTAATCCTGTCCTTGAGACCTGGAGTTTTTTATGGAAAAAGATCGGTCGATAGCGTTAAAGAATTTTCTACTCAATGTGTTAAACCTCCAAGTAAGTTAAGTATACTCTTTACCTGTGTCTTTGTTCTCATATACTAGTAAAATATGGATTTTTGATTTTGTTTTTCCTCTATCACTGCTACAACTATATTTAAGTTCTTTTTGGTGAAAATGTTGTCGGTGTCGTTTTCTCTTAACACAAATTTTTAAATTACGTAGCTGTACTACTAATACTATACAGTTCTAATAAATCCCGCCCTAAGTCTCTCTGCATCATTCTTTGCATCTCCATTATTCTGTACATAGTAATACTATTCTGATTTTAAACTTTGCACCATTTAAATGCAAAAAAATGTTGGTTGGCCCAGTTTTTTGAATATAAACCTACCTACATTAATTTATGATAGAAGCCTAACGGGAAAGAACATTGCTACATTTTAAATGAACAAACTTTATTATAAGTACAATAGTGAAAATACAAAGTTTGAATCTAATCCCACCACAATTTGTCGCATTCTGGAACAATGTAAAATCCTCGTCTGGAAATTTTCTTGGGAGGATTTATGGCGCCAATTACATTGTCCCACGAATACCATATTTCGTCGCGTCTTTCTTGCAATTTCCAAAACTTTAAGGATTATGACATGGCGCTAATCGCTCCATCATTTTCTATTGCTGTTATGACTCCAGGGTAAACATGATCTTCATAGACAAATAAGACGTACTTACCAATATATTTTTTAACATGATCTAATAAAGAGTTTTTAACTTTTTCGGCAGTATTTGTTCCAAGAGAACCTGAGGCGAGTTTTTCATTAAATTCTCTTCCTTCTTCCATCTCTTGCAGCGCATTTATTTCATTATCTGATGAACCCTGCCTAGTGGAAAGTGGTCGTTCAAAGTAATATAGTTCTCTGAATCATCTACGACTTCTGGCTCAACAGCTTGATGAAGTGTGGAAGTAGATGTTTCAGTTAGATCTTCTAAACTGATTTCAGAATGGGCAATACTTTGTCCTGCTGGAACATTTATTTTCTTTTTTTTCCACGTGTCTTAAGCTGGGTGGCTTCCTTTCTTTTATCTTCTAAATGTTATCACACTAAATTGCTGAGTTGTTTTTAACCGCTCCAAGTTCGGATATAACACCGCTCCAAGAGATGAAGGATCGATGCCACATTTCCTAAATCCCGACTTTAATATCTCATCGCCATTCTTTTGTATTTTTTCGATTAATGATCCTAAAAGCGTTGGAAAATGCTGTTTCTCAAGTACATTTGATCTACTCCCCACATGAGTTTCGTTATATTCAGACAAAATTTCCCTTAAGGCCTTTTTCATTGGGGCAAATAATGCAACATCTAGCGGTTGTGTAAAGTGGGTGCTATTCGGAGGCAAACATATAAAATGAATGTCGTGTTTTCGACACAAATCCAGGACTTCAACATTAATATGAAAAGACAAATTGTCTCCTAAAAAGACCTTCTTTCCCTGAATTTTTTGAAGCCTGAGCAATTTAATAGTGTTAAACCAATTTGCAAATGTCTGTAAATCATGGATTCACCAAGCAGGTCAAAAAATGATTAACAATAAAAGGATCTCTGGTTTTCTTGAACAGGAACCCTATAAAC